CTGAGGTCAGGCGCAAAGTTTTAGGCAACCGCGGTCGCCCACTGGAGCAAGTGGTCGACCGCCATAGATTATGCTGGTTGGGACATGTGCCACACATGTCACCCGTTAGGTTGCCAAGGCGAGCGATGTTTGCCGAGGCAGGTATCAGTTGGAAAAAGGTCAAGGGTGATGAGACGAAGACCTGGCATGAGGGTGTGAAAACCCTGACCAAGAGTCTAGGTCACAGGTCCCGTTAGGCTCCCAGGATGAGGACCCCGAGATCATGGTAACCGGTGGTTAGAAACTCTAAGTGATATGGCTGAGTATCGCAAACAGTGGCGCTCGTGCATCTACTCAATATTCTTGCAACCGAAATCTATGTAAATGCGCTATCTTCCGCTTGAATCTGCTATCAACATTCTAATCATCATTCTGCTGTTTTATTCAAACGGCAACCAAAAGACAGCAACGAAAACCGGCGCACGAAAGTGCGTGGTTAATGATTGTAAGAACTGAACTGAGGCAAGCTTCTGATGCGCTCAGTTTTCCAACCTGTGCTTTAAAATCACCTGCAAATAAAACTTTATCGAAGCATCCACTCATCCGAATGAGATCGATGATTTTATTTTAGAGAGCGTCCTTTTGTGTAGCAGAACCGCAATTGGTCGGTACATATGCCGATATGATGACCAAGCATCTATTGGTGTTGCTTCTATTTCGGACGCTGATTGAACCCTGGCAAAGTACTGCACCTAAACGACTGTTGATGGGGATCCAGTCGATAAGAGGGCTCAGCCCTGTTATTCATTACATTACCTACCCCACATTAACATGCTTAACGGCTTTCGTCGTCGCCTGTCGTGCGAAGCACGTACCTGGGGTCAAATTTAGCGCTCAAATGGATTATAGGGGTAGGATCCTGGATTCGCGTCTCCAATACGCAGCAGACATCAATCTCCAAAGAGTCCACTGCACGCGCCAGGCACGCTTGTTGACCTACCTGCATCAGGGTCTTCACGTTGAAGGCCCCTAAATTGTCGAGGCCTCAGAGTCTGCGATCCATTTCATGGTACATTACTTACGGTGCTATTTGACAATGACCTTTGATAAACGACATCCAAGTTGATAGAGAGACTGTTGCAGGTCGGAACAAGGGGCAATAGAGAGGGTTGGGTACGGAAGACAAAGAATGAAACTGTTAGGGATATCTGAGCAGTAGCCCACTTATCACTACCCACCCCGCTCGACGCAATGATTATTCTGCGCGACGACCGATGTAGTATGGAATTGTTTTTTAGTTTGTATGCATTGGAGTTTAACGGTCGGGTACTATTAGGATGTCCAGCCACCATGCAGGAGAACCGTTACGGTTCTCCACCAAAGTTCTGACAAGAACCTAACGGCATGGCAGTGGGTGAATAGAAATGTACGCCCAGTTCCTTGGATCGATTACTTCACAATCTTTTACCGACTGAAGCGCAACTTTTAGTCGAACCCCAACCTGAAGAACCACGAGAGTAGACCTCGTCTGACCTTTATCCCTCGTCCTGCCAGGTATTGTTAGATCGTCGGCTTTACAATAACCATCCTGTGTAGCTCGTTGGGTTATAAAGGTGCACAAGCCATCGCACTACGTCGAGGTGCAGTCTCGTTGTGATGGTCTCTACTCAAAAGAATGTGAGGAACAGAAACCTTCCCAAATGAATGGACTATTTATATTCTGCTGAATATCATCTAAAAAGGTGGTGTGTGTGAACTACCGAGGCATCAGACTGATTAATGACTTCTAAACTGTTCAAATTGATGCTGTTTAACCACTTTGTGACAGCAGTAGATGAGCGCACTCGCGCCAACCCTTCTGGTTTCCATGGCGAGGAAGGAGCTGTGCTGATTGTCTTCTGACTTTCGGTCGGAACTTGGAATACCCTTTCAGGATCCGGCTAACGATGGCTTGTTTTATTGATTTCCGTACTGCCTTTGATTTAGTGCAAAGGAACTCATTGTTGAACAGCAAGAAATCAGATGGCGTGCTCCTAGAACAAATGGACATTCTTTCGAACTCCCGAGCTTGAGTCTGCGTTTNTAACTAGGGGAGTCTGTAGTTTCCCTTGAACTCGGGAGTTTAACGGGACTTTACATTCTCCGGTGCTGTTCAGCCGTGCTATTACCCAGAAGCGCTACTTCGGTCTATTCACTGATTTGCCTACCTAGATTTTGCGGATCAGATGATTGTTTTCGGGGACAACTCGGACAACCTACAGCCAATCCTTGATTTGCCAAGGAAATTTTATTGGAAGTAAATGTTCAACATCAAAATCATTTCGACCGCGATGATCGCATTCCTACATTCGATCACAATTGACAGCAAAGCAAAAGATATCATTTAAGCTTTCGAATACGTCGGTTACATCATCCAAACAAACGACGAAGACGAAATCCAGCCACGCGTTGATATTGCTAGCTTGGTTTCCTGCAATTTTAAGTCTGTTTGCATACAACAAAATCACCCTTTATATTAAGGTGTGGATCTACTTAGCTGCAATTCCTGTGGTCCCGAAATAGCTGAGACGTAGCCAGTGAGGTTCCAGGACCTCCAGAATTCAAGTTTTTCTATCTGTTATGTGATCTAAATCCTGAAGGTAAAGTGGCACGACGAACCACTCAAGGAAAAAGTTCAAAGAAGACGCTGTTCCGTCTAAAAGGCTTTCACATTGCTGAACCGTAATTGCCTCTAGTGATTTAACTCTGTCCTCCGCAACAAAGTCTAGAGGTGCAGTCACGAATAAAAAAGGCAAGCGATGTTGAAAAGATCACTCATACCAGACCTTAATGCAAAGTGATCAACTTGAATCAAGCTGACTCATTCTCTAACGACATTACCCAAGTAAAGTAGGCTAGTATCTTCGCTTTGGCCAGCTTGAACATGCACCAATTGTCTCGGAAATGCGAGTCGAATCACAGTTCGTTCCTTAGGTGTTTTGGTTGCATTTTGTTTGAACACTGATACCGTAGGTCACAGAATCATCTTTGCTAGGACCATGTAATACGTATCTCCGATGCAGCCCCTTTTCATGGGATACACTAGCACTTTTCATCTTTCTTCGTCACTATATTATTCGCCGTATTGTTGATTTGTCTCCGTTTGTTTTGTTTCTAGATTTTCAGTCTATCGCATCGACAGTTGAGTCAGCTTTCCAAACTGAGGCGTTCACCTTCTTTGTGGAATGGGAATCAAGCTCAAAAGTTGTCCGAAAACGTTCTCTCCAGCCTGGCTCGAACTCTGCAAGATCTGTCCACAGCTTTCCGTCGATCGCAGTCAGATTACCTAAACAGTAAGTGCTCGATTGCCTCCTCATACATTTATGTGATGTCACACATCTTACAGTTGCTATCATGAGCCATTTGTATGCTAACCATCCGTCTCAATACTGAGCGAAATTGAGTTGAAGTACTAAGTATAAAACATTCGGAGTAAGGGGAACGGTAAGATTTGATTCACTCGCTTCATTACACACAGACGATGCATAGTCGGGCTTTATTTGACACATGCAATCGGTCTTCCCGATGCATTTATCCTCACTCGTATTATCGTTTGATTTTATCGCATGTCACAGGAGTATGGGTACATGTAATACTGATTGTTTATCTCTGCGCCACCTCCGAAAGTGTCACTTTGACGGTCCACTTTTACAGAACTGAAGTCTCGCGATGATCGCATCAAGGGTTACTTGTCGATGGGGCTCCAACTGGATGAAGGCCCTGTTGGAACAATGGATGAATTTGGCGACAATGAGTATCAGGTAAACTGAGATTCGTTCTTGCGTCCTTTTGGTTATCCGATTGTGGACCTTATTTTCGCAAAATATGGTTATTCCGCAATTGTGATGATGATGATGATGATGATGATAGACAAACCATTTGTCTCTGCTTTGATTTCGTCAAGGCATTGCTTAAGTGTACCTGTCATAGGTCTTTCATTGCCACACAGATATATTTCACAATAAGAAGTTTATAAATGACTCGAAAATTTTCCCTGGAAGCACACGACCAGTTTCGCGGTTCCCGTCGCTCGTCAGATATGCGTATCCGATAATATTTTATCACTTCATTCGTGTACTTGTACCCTGGAAGTGTATTTTCGTCACACACACACACACACACACACATATATATATATATATCAGTTCAGTTCATTTCAGTTTTTACAACTATTAACCATGCACTTTCGTGCGCCTGAGTCGATTGCTGTCATGGATATATTTCTATGCTAATGGTTGAGGATTGTTTAGTAAGTGTTTCATCCATATTCCACTGACTTCATCATAATGGTTCATCTCGATTAATTGATCATACTGGCCCCACATGTTCGTGTTCCCAATCCTTACCCCCTGTTCACTCGCGATTGGTTTCAGCTCTGGGAGGCACAGCGTCAACGTCGTGGGTTGCTCCTGGAGGAGAACACAAATATGGTCACCCAAAGAGAGCAGGAGATCAATGAAATTGTTCGATCAATCCATGAATTGAATGAAATATTCCGCGATGTCGCACAACTTGTCGTCGATCAGGTATGTGTGTGAATCACATACTTCGAGTCAACCCCCTCGTCCATCGTTTGATTGACGAAAATATTCACAAATCCACCGATTGCCGGTTTGTTCGGAGCAACCCTGCTCAGTTGCGAGTGAATGTGCAAATCAAGAATAAAAGCAGACAAACGGTTTGACACATGGAGTCGACCTACCCTCTAGCAAGATATAGTCGCGTGAAGCCAAAAGCCCCACGGACTTCGGTTCCGGTACACCCAGTTAATAAGTGATTAGTGGTGGTGGTGCATTGGTTTATTCGCTGTCACCGGCGTGCTTTAGACCTCATGGTCTGAGGTTCAAGCCCCGCCACCGCCACCCAACTTTGGTGGTAGGCAGCTCTGCTGTCATCTGGTTCAATACCACAGCTAACGTAACGGGGCCCTAATGTGGTTCACCACTCCAAGTCACCGGGGGCTTGAGTTACCGGTTTCCATCACTGAACATCAGATCCTCGTGAATATGGGGCTTTCGCCGTCTGCTGTGCATCACACAAATGTGTGTACTCAAAAAGCTGAAACGGAATTTATTGTTGTGAACCACAGTTGTTTCTTCTCTGACGTAAGGTTAGAGTATAATCCGCTCCACCAAAATGTTGGCCTCTTATTCACCCGTGTTTGCCTGCACGCCAGCCCACTCATCAACTAACGGAGTTGGATGAAAATAATAATAACAATAGTAGAGTTGTTCAGAACTGAAACCTGAGTGACTGAAGCTGATCAAACTTATGATCACGAAAATCGGTGTAATGTACGCGTGGTATCAGGCAATATCGACCAATCAGTCAGTAGTGTCATAGCTATGTGCGGCAAACGTTTCAACCAATGGTTGGCTAAAACATTGATAGTATCAATGACAACTATAGTAATCATTTTTCTCTTGTCTATTGGGTTACAGTATGACCACTAGTTTCGTTACAAAGCAGTTCCCATATTAGAAAAGTACGAAAACGAAATTTCACTTTTAGTTTATATAAACACACGTAAATGGTCTATGCTCGATACCCAGCTTACAGTAGACGCAACACACGAAAGCGGTGAAATGTGACATTTCTGTTTCCCGGAGTAAATGGCCACATTGTGCAATCTATTTTTACGAACGTCAATTTTGGCTGATTTGAAGATTTCGCCCAACAAATGGGAAAGCAGGGCGACAGTGTGTGGACACTCGAACTGAGAGACATTAGGCAGATGGCCTACACCAAATGACAACGACTGCCTGTAGTTCGTGCCTATTCCCTAGTTTTTGTGCATCAAAATAACCTTATTAGATTAATAGTTCTAGTCAGCTCAACACCTGTGTGATTCCATTTCTTTCTCTGTGTGTGTCCTATTTCAGGGCACAATTGTAGATCGTATCGACTACAATGTGGAACATACACAAATACGTGTCGAGGCCGGTTTGAAACAGCTCACCGAGGCCCGCAAACATCAGTCAAAGGACAGGAAGATGTGGGTGATTTTCGTTTTGGCCGTTTTGGTTGTTGTGTTCGGACTGCTTTTAATTGTGACCAAACTCACCTAGCACTCACCACCAGCTATCGTATTTTACCGAATAGGCTACCCATTTCTGATGTGGGGAGAGCTTAACCGTTCTCTGTACGTTGTCTTGTCTTTCAACACCACCTGCCCCCTCCCCCCCCACCATACACGCACACCCTCGCTCGCTTGCTCTCATGTGATACTGGTGTTTGCGGCTGATAACTTGTTCTTCCACACCAAATACGCAATATTGACCCATGTGTCCCATTTCAGACATTCCACATTTGACTTCCTATCATGTTTTGTTTCTGTTCATCACCATCCATTGATCATGTCAGTTATGCCATCGTATTGTTGTATATAAACGAATACAACCGTTTATTTATGTGGTCATATTCCCACTCCCATATGTTTTTTCGTGTTCTTTTTCTTTGCTCATTTTAAGTGTTCTCTTTCTGATGATGATCAGGAGTTCCAGGGTAGAGAGAGTGCATCACTGCTGGTTGCTCACTACTTTCCCAGTATTTATGAGATAATTGTTCTCTCATTCGCACAGTTGGCGCAAATGTGGACAAGTGATGCAGAGGTCAAAGATCCATCCCCATCCATTTCTCTTGTTTATTGGCAAATCACAACAGCGAGCGTCTAGAACTTTACTTTTCGACCTTTATATGTAGTCCTACATGTTCACTGACCTTTCAAAGCACGTTCGTTTTTCAGTGAAAGTTGCAGAACTGCATTCCCCAAATCGCCGGAAAAGTTCCGTTTAGAAAATAATGTTCGCCATTTACTTCAATCCTTATATTGAGCTTTTTTAAGAGAAGTTTGGTCGAGCACCACCTACTGATTCCTTTATTCTGTCAGAGGAAACAGAAATGCGGTGAAAATCATAGAACCACTGTGGGCACATGTGGTCGCAATCTATAGACAAGCCTGCCCACAATGCTTCACCTCAATTCATAGGAATGTATTACTTTGTGCTCGAATAATTGAACTACGTTACACCGAGTTGTTTTAAACCAGTTATTGGTGGAATGACTCAGTGCTTGAATTAGAGCTAGTATCTATCATTCATCGTTTGTCACTTAAAGATTCATGATCAGTATGACTTCTTATAATAACCAATTATATTCACAAAAATGGAGATTTGATCTGTTCTGATTGGAACCATGGGCAATCCCATTTGAAATAACGGCCTTAAGAGAGAGAGAGCTGTTTGATTATTTGGCAGGCTCATTTAAGATAAGAGAACATTTCTGCGGACAATCTGAATATGTACTAGCAGAACCCTGAAATCTATCTCTATGGGTGTCGGTTGTCACCGGGCCCATTTCTTTATCTCTACCGTAATGCCATCATGTTCATCTTGCGCAGATTGTTTAATGACACTGTGGTTTTATAACGCTTTCCGCGTTGAGACACTTGTTTAATTTAGGTCATTTTGTGGAGTTTCCCGTATTTTTTCGATCAGAATTATTCACTGGGGTTTGCACCTATCGTTAAATATCTCCACTATACCTGAATCTTATTAGGTGCATAAGGAAAAATAATGAAAGGGTAACAAATCCAGTAACTCCAAAAGTAAAGTGCATGAAAAAACTGGAGAAAGAAACATGCTTTAAATTCCAAGTTCCCCCATACTGGATAATTGTCAAGGTGTGATACGTCTGTGAAACGTGTGAAGCGAAACACACCGAGAGCCTGTTGAGGAAACCAGGCGAAACAGTTGTCGTTCACTTATCCGTGGAATGAGCCAATAACTGCTCGAATACAACGCTGTGGTTCAATAAGTAACGTGGGTGGTTGTTACTCGGCAATCACCCCTTGATAGAGATATCTGCTATACTGCTGAGTATTCGCTTTTAAACTACGATCAACGAATGGAATTCTTTCGCATGGTAACTAGAACGACGTCAGACATTCTGAGTCCAATGGTCTGGACGAAAAATCAGTGACTGTTATGTGATCACGCAATTAGAGAGTCCTTCCAAATATTGGCTATTTTTATATTTGAGGATAGAGTACATAGCCTGAAACTGCATTGCTATAAAATTTGGAACACTATTTATTGCATCCGCAGGAGTACTGAACAGTCAATCGGAATAGGAACTGGAATTATCCTGAGACCCAGGGGAAAAGAGACGACAGTTTCCGTCTCAACAACCATTAAGCATGCATTTCGGTGCGACGCTTTTGGTTGCCATTTGGGTGAATAATAGGAGGAAAACAAGATGGTTGAGAGTGGGATCGAAGGGAAAACTGAGAAGATCAGTAGACTAATAATGCAGGAACACCACTATTTACGACACCCAGCTATATTGCTCAGTTTCTCTAACCATCCGTTACGATCATCCCGAGGTCCCAATCCGAGGAGCCTAACGGGACCTGTGACCTAGACTCCTGATCAGGGTTTTCACACCCTCATGCCAGGTCTTCGTTTCACCACCTTGGGCTTTATTCCATCCGCTAATTGCCTCGGCAAACATCGCTCGCCTTCGCAGCCCATTCGGAGACATGCCCCAACCAACGTAATCTATGGAGGTCGACCACTTGCTCCAGTGGGCGACCGCGGTTGCCTAAAACTTTGCGCCTGACCTCAGCATTGCTCATCCAGCTGCCCACCAGATTCGTGCAATGCTGCGTACACAGGGATGTTCAATCACCGATAGTCTATCTTTATCCTGTTCCCATAATGACCAAGTTTCTGCTGCATATAGCACAACTGGCCGGACTGCTGCAGCATACACCCGACCCTTCACAGACCGCCGGATGTCACGACGGCGCCACAGATGTTTCAAGTTGGCCAATGCCAACCGAGCCTTCGTATGCGCGCCGATACTTCATCCGTGATGCATCCGCCAAGTGAGATATAGCTGCCCAGATAGCAAAACTTGTCCGCTCCCCTACTACTTCCCCGGTCAGGGTGAGGTTGGGGACTGGATCAATCCAATCTTGGAGCAACATTTTACACTTGGAAGGTGCAAAACACATACCGAATATGGCTACACTGGCACTCAAACTATCCAGAAAAGCCTGCCACTTACTTTGATCTTCACTTAGTAGCACTACGTCGTCTGCATGTTCTAGATCAGACAGTCTGTCACTTGGAAGTAAATCGATACCACTATCTTCGCACGAGGACAGGGCTGTTTCAATAATTATATCTATAACAAAGTAACTAGAAACGGAGAGAGGGCAATCCTATCGAACACCACTTTCCGTGGTGAACTCGGGTGAAAAATTGTCTTAAGCTCGGACTCGGCCTCGGTTATTATAGTAGGGGGATTGAAATATTCAAATAAACTTCTCGGGCACATCCTTCAGGAAAAGACAGCGCCAGAGTTGAGAGCGGTCGACTGAGTCGAAAGCCGCTTTCAGGTCGAGGAAGTAGAAAACGGTGGGTCTACGAAAAGAATATCTGTGTTCTAGGATTTGACGAAGAGTGAAGATGTGGTCGATTCAACCTCGACCAGGTCCCAAAGCAGCCTGGTCCTCATGTGTGCACTCTTCATGCGCGGCAGACAATCGACGGAGTATGATACCGGCGAGAGGTTTAGAGGCAATGTTGATTAAACTAATTCCTCTGTGGTTTTCACAGGAGGATCTGTCACCTTTCTTGTAAATCGGTATGATCACCGATTAATACCATTCAGTTGGAACTTGTTCCCTTTCCCACACTGAGCCCAAGAGTTTTGTCAACTCCAAAACTAAGGCTGAACCTCCATCCTTAAAAACAGATAGGGACAATTTGTCGGGGCTGAAAACCTTATACCTTTTGAGATAGCTTATTTCTCGTGTAACCGCCATTTCAGATGGACGATTGATGTCAACTGACAGGATTTGCACAGCTGAACCGAGTACAGGGAGCTCTTGTGCTGACGAGGGCCAGTAAAACTGAGCCTTAAAATGTTCTCATCGATCTAGATAGCGTTGCTGAATATGAATTACTGTGTCGTCGGACTCCTTAATTAACTCACTTATGCCTGCTTTCCTCGGACCTGTACTCCTAATTAATCGGAAAAGATTGCAACTATTACCAATAGCCGTAGCCTTCTCCATCTCTCTAATCTTTCCTACCCACCAATTCTCGCGGTTATTCCTCAGACATTTGATGAACTGGCGTTTAAGAGATTTGCGGCAGTTGTAGTCTGCCCTACCAACGAACAGATAACGGCAATCGATTTCTTCACTTCTTGGAAGACCATCATCTGTTCCTATCAAGCACCAACTTCCGACACAGCTCTCCACGGATGGCAACGTGGCGCTCCAGTTCAACTGGTACGCTAACTCAAATCAACCACATAGCAGTAAGCTACCGTTGACGTGGCCCACTGCAAAATTGCGAGTCCTATTGAACCACGCGTTGAGTCTGACCACCACATAGTTTTGATACAGTTCACTCCCCGACTGAGTGGTAGGCGACAAAACCAGCAAACTCGGATGGCTCAGCATCGCCTATCTGTTTTGGGGAATCGTGCAAGCTGAGTCAGAGCTAATGAGTAATTCAAGCGCGCTCCAACGCAGTGAAGTAGATGAGCAGTTCGATTATATCAGGCGAGCAATGCATTTCTCTGCGAATGTTGCTTGTAGGTCTGAGCCTCAAGCCCGTCGGAAGCACCGAATATCGCATGAACCAGCAGCCCCGGTGAATAAAATTCGACAAATACCGACCTGCCAGAATCAAAATAGAATAAATGGAGCCTGCAACGTCGGCTCATGAATAGCCTCAAGAAAGACCGTGAGAACTGGTGGGCAACAATAGCTAGTGAAGCGGAAGTAGAAGATATATCAGGGAATAGTCCGAGACTGTTTCGATTGATACACAACACTAGAGGTCAGAGAACTCCAGTTAGTGAAACAGTCTGCGACAAAAGGGGTTAGACTATGAACGATAGGGATCAAAAGCTTGATCACTGGGCGGTATACTTCAGCGAACTGAAGCTAGGTGCGGTACTCTGACTGAAACGGAAGCTCTGTCTTGCATTCAAGCTCTGTAGTGAGGGACGACTGCAGAACTTGATGGGCTCCTTCCCACTCTTTTCA